TTCTTTATTCTTGCACTTTCTACAACCCAAAAGAAAATTCTTCCAATCATTATTTCACGTTATCTTCATCTCTCCATTTCTCTCTTCCTTCTCATCATGAATTTGTTCTCCTAATGCTCCCTGTATTCCTTCTCATCATGTTAGCCTCATCATGTTTACATTTTTTTCTTACCCTTTATCTTATTACATTGGAAGCTACATCCTGGTAAAAAATAAATAAATGTATTTTTGTTAAGACAAACATTTGGGCCAAAGAAAATGAAAAGAAAGGGTAATACTTGTTTTCCTTTGCAAAAAGATCTATGGTAAATTTGGGGCTTCTGGATAAGGTCTTTGTTCTTAGTTGATCTATTTCATGGTTATTGATTTGATTATTTCAGCAGGTAACACATTAGGATTCTTAATAATTTATGGATCATTTTGTAGCGCTGCTGGGCCCCATACAGTAATCAATGGAAAAGATGTTGTGAATTTTGCATCAGCAAATTATCTTGGATTTATCGGACACCAGAAGTTGCTGGTAAGGAAAATTCATCCTTTCATTATTTTATTTTCCTTTGCAATAATGTACTAACTTGAATAAATCTTCTTTAAAATGCATTTATAGGACTCATGTACTTCTGCACTTGAAAAATATGGCGTTGGTTCTTGTGGTCCTCGTGGGTTTTATGGAACAATTGGTAAGACTGAAGTTTCAAACTGATTTGAGAGAAGTAGGCTTCTTTTGCTGATAAAGTTTCAAGGGAACAACATTCTAACTAGATCCTTTTGTCTAGATGTTCACCTTGATTGTGAGGCGAGGATAGCAAAGTTTTTGGGAACTTCTGATTCAATCCTCTATTCTTATGGACTTTCTACCATGTTCAGCACAATACCATGTTTTTGTAAAAAAGGTGACATCATTGTCGTGTAAGTATAATCAGGATGGATAATCTTATTCCGTTTGTTCTACCATGGTATGAACATTTTTCTTGAGAGCCATGTTACAGTTTTACCTTATTATGTATTATTTAAGAAGGTGGTTTCTAATGATATTGGTCTTTGATTAAAGATGAAGTGTTTATTAGGATTTTGTAATCTTATTGTTAGCAGCTTTACTAACCTTTTGATCCTAGTTGATACTAGGTTGTTGTTGAGTGTGACTGTGCAGTGCAACATGACACTTTTCTTTGTTTGCATGTATCATATTTAAGTGCTTATAATTTGTCTAAAAATAGTAAATCAAACCTGTCTGATAAAAAAGAATAATGGGCTAGAGCATGTAATTTTGTTTCTTGTGGTTTTCTCAATTTTGAGGGACAGTAGTGGTGGTACTTCTTTAAGCATTTATGCTTTAGTAGCTTATTTCCACTTCTCGACCATGGGGTAGTCTGGACTTTTACTTAGGCGAAACCTAATTTTACATTTCAGAGTACCCTTAGTTTTTCATTTAAAATTTGCAAACTTCATTTCCTGTTTCATTCATATCTAATTAGTTGTCTGGAGTAGGCCTCTTCATAATTCTTCCCAAAATCAGAAGCAGAATTACTAAGTTTTTTAATTAAAAAAAAAGCAGAATTACTTATAGTGATATCATTTAAGAATGATATTGATTTATGTTGTCTATTATTCTTATGTTTTAAGTTTCCTGATTTGAATTGTTTGTGACCTATTATACTAATATTTTTATATTGAGGCTGGAAAGTGTATCCTTATTAATTAGTATGTTCTGATGCGAAAACAAACTTATGGAGATACTAATTTATTTTTTTGAGGCAATAAAAGTCTGATTGGTTTAATATTGAAGTCCTTCTTGGTATCCTTATCAGCTTTTTAATCTAAAATCTAATTTCTTATTTAGATGGGATCCTAGTTAGTTATGTTCTCTTGTAGGTTCTTCAGTTAATTAGTTACTTTTCTATTTAATAGAGTTCTTAGGTAGACTTAAGTTTTCTTATTTTGGCTGTGTATTGTGCCTATATATAAATTATCTAGCTTAGTGGAGATGCAGACTTTTTAGGTTATTATTCAACTTTCTTGTGATATTGATTTGATTATTGAGATCTGAGGTCTCTAGTTTTGTTTCCTTCTTAATTTTTCTTAAGTTTTGTGAATAAGCTCTTTTTATCCTATATCACCAAGTTTGATGGGAGGAACTAGGAATAGTATCAGTGTAAAATTTTTCAAGGGATCAAGGAGTTTTCTTTTTCCTCTTGCGTATCATTTGGATCCATGAGATTAATAGATTCTAGTTTATGTTGATGGCCCTCTATGATTTTTTATGTTTGACATGTTTGGTACTGTTTGAGTTGGCCTCTCTTTATCCTTTATGGCTTATGAATCCTAGTTGCATATTTTTGGCCAAAGCTTTACTTTTTTGAGATGTAAAAAGGTCCTTTTTTTCAATTTTTTATTTTCCTCTTCCAGGGATGAGGGAGTTCACTGGGGAATACAAAATGGCCTTTACCTTTCCAGAAGCACAATTGTATATTTCAAACATAATGATATGGAATCCTTACACAATACTCTTGAGAAAATTACTGCAGAAAACAAGCGGGCTAAGAAATTGCGGCGCTACATTGTGGTTGAAGCTGTGTACCAGGTATGTTAAGGTTTTTGTGTAAAATTTTGATATATGTTTTTTTGGTTTACTTGAAGTTTTGCCCATAAATATGCTCCTGAATGCAGATATGAATATTTATATCTGAAATGTTCTGAGCTGTTTACAAGTACACCATAGAGTTGGCATTAGTTTTCTCATATTGTTTCGCGTTCCACTATGCCACTACATTTACTTTCTGGTATATGAATCTTAACCTGCTTGGCTGAAAGCTTCTGAAATGTCTTTAATTTGTAGAATTCTGGCCAAATAGCTCCTCTTGATG